ATAATATATTTTTACAATAGCAGTTGAAAAATAAAAAATAAAATGTATAAAAACGATATATTCATCAATGATAGTTTTCTACTTTTTCTAGACTTCTAATGTTAATTTATTTATTTCGTTATACCTAGGTTAACCTTCCACTTTCTAATGTGATCATAAATGATGATCAAAATATATTATTCAATAGCAATATTTATCTGCGGATATTATGTAGCTAAATTGCCTAGCTAGGACGCCGTTTGATCGTAATATATAATTATTTTTAATATTCTATTGAAATTCTTGGTAAAATGGTAAAAACTATCAATCTAACGGAAACACCAAAATAAATGTATGAAAAGATACAACAGTAGTTAAGTTATTGTAGTTTGTCAATTATAGTAATCGTTCACTTAGTATGCCTGAGTTATTTCAACAAGAAAACAGACAAATTATTTCGGTGTTTGTGAGTAGATGTTCTCGTATTATTATAATTTTTATGCACTTTCGATTTTACAATTCTTTAGTTTGATAGAGCATGAATTTCAATAAAAATACATTTTTAATAAACTACGAGTAATAATATCTTACCATGTGCTAACTAGACTTTGGGGTACTCGTCTAATATGCTAATACCTACCCATAAAATGGTATCTACCAAAACACTGTATGCGTGTAGTATGCTACCTATCATAGTTAGGCAACTTTTTTACCAATAATACAAAATGAAATAGAACTAGGATCAATTATTTATTCAGATCAATGGCGAGTAGTACCTTAAAATATATAGGTTATCACCACGAAACCGTCAATCATTCCGAGTTTTTTGTTGATCCACAACGCGCCCAAACACAAACGATCGAGTGTATATGGAGACATGTTAAAATTAAATACGGAATTAAAACCCGAAGAGCAACAGATTTGYTAGACCGACAATTAATAGAAGAATGGTGGCGGTCCGTTAATACCCAACACGATTTATTAGAAGTTTTCTGGAATGATATAAAAATAGTATATGATGTATAATAATATATAATGACGAATTGAAATATTATAAAAAAATAGTATATATAATGTATAATAATATATAATGACTACGAAATATTTTGAAGTACTTGACAACGGTGAATTAATAAATTATTTAGTAATAAATTGTTGTTAATTTGTTATTATTTTATGGTAAGTATAGCTTATTTTACGGTAGTTAGCATGGGTACACACGAATTGCGTACCAAACCAGGTAGGCGAACCTTTTTGAACGAATTGCGTCCGGGACGCAATTCGTGTTAGTTTTCCATCTACAGTTAATTATTGTAAGTGGTTCCTAAAACGATATTGTCACAATAAAGATATGCCAGGTTATATAAAAATTATGAAATTTAATTGTAAAAATATAATAATGTCATAATTAATCACATACCTATTTATAAAAAAAATTAAAATTGAACTGTAAAAAATATAATACTATC